ACTTTCATGCACTTTGCTGGGGTACCTAATTCGTTATTTTGTAGATTGGAACGTGACAGAGTTCCGCATTCTGATTCAAGCACTCCGTTCTTTTCAAGCCCTTCCTCTGAACTGTAAGGCACCTCATGTAAGTACCTTGGGTATGGTTTATTTTACTTGCAAAAAGAGTCTAAGAGAGGGGAGCTTCAACTCAAACTTCTAGGCCCGAGCTTCAGGCACACGCCAACCTTAATCCCAATTAATGTTTGAATCTGAACAATTCAGCATAAAGCGGGCTCTACACCATAGCTGGAGGGCCCATGAAGTGGCTTGGGGATTGATTCCCACCGCATTGTTTCTCGAAATGCTTGGGTGCTTCCTAGGAAGTATTACGGAGATTCCTTAAAGGGTGTACCCTTCTTAATCCTACTTCTGACTCTCTAAAAAGGGACCTTGTTGAGAGGGTCTATATCCCCAAAGGTCTCCCTAATCCTAACTCCTAGTGTTCGGGGGACAGAGTGGGAAGACTTGGGCCCACGGGTTTCAGTCGATTCCATAGACGGGGTTTTAACGCAGTCTGCTCTGCACTCTCAGAGAGATCACGGCACAATCGGGGAGAGGGGGTGGCCAGAACCTAAATATGCATATTATATATTGTGTGTATATAGTTATATATATATAGTTTTTTTCATATCTGTATGTCATGTGGCTTGATCGCGCCCAGTATTGGTCGGATTCTTGCCCACTGCCTTGATGCAGAGGCATCAGGTGTCTTCCTACGAAACATCCCTGCCAAGTGCACGTACATGTGTCTCGACCGCACAAGGCTAGAGCGAAGGAGCTGTCGGGTCCAAGCAGTTGCATGTCGGGCTTGAGCCCAAGAGAGGTGCGTTTTCAAAGCCACACTACAAAGAGATCGGCTCTCGCAGTTTTGGAATTTGTGATCTCGTAGTGAAAGCCAGGGCCCAAGAGCCAACCCCACATTGAAAATCGGCGACGTTTTCATAGTGCATGCACAAGCCCTCATCATTCTATCTTCGCTGACACGAGTTGTTCGTGAGCAAGTTGCTTGGCCTTCACTTCGCTTGTACCTTTACCATCCCGCGACTCCTCCTATCAAGACCGAAGATATGAAGACACCGCACCCCGAGCGAATTGGACACCAACGCAAGTGGTAGAGCCTTTTCAGTCGCCGGAACTTGTATGATTGCCTTTTGAAACAAGGATTGTTTGGCTTTTGTTCGATGTTCAACCGACCCCTGGCCCGAAAATTGTCGAGCGATACCCCTATCACCATGCCTACACCCTGAACCAAAGATCAGGGCTTTGACGAAATTCCTGCATGGTCTTGGCTTGGATGGCTTCAAAGCAGTGGTGGCTCGCCATCCGAGCCTTGCCTGGACTCTCCTCAAAACTGTGCTGTCGTATCATTATATAGATAGATATATATATATATAATGAAATGACGAGGTCTGAAGGGTTGGTAAGAGTGTTGTATCGACGTAGAGTCCCGATTATAGTACAATTATAGCACAATGTGCCCCAAAACCCGGCTTCAGATTGGTTCTAACGGGGCTTCTACGTAGTATGTAGATCAGGACACGGTGGCGTCAGAGCACAAAGGATACAGGTCTCGATGGTGAAGGAACTTGTGACCCAGGTGGAAGTGCACTGAGAGTTTCAAGTTTGGCCACTTCGTGATCACACGTGCCATACCCCTGTTCCGATCATGAACGAACCTATCGGTATGCTGCCAAGCCGAGAGAGAGAGAGACATTTCATCCTGGCACTTCAAACAGCCTGACCTAAAGCCCGAAACTCTAAGTAGATCTAAGTGCGTTATGCAGAGATTTGTGTTATGAATGGCTCTTCGGGGGGCGGTTAGGCTTGGGGCTTGGATTAGGATTGGGTTCACAAAAGGGTACTGCGCGCACCTTGGACCTGTTCGTTCATTGGTTGTTTTTGGCCCGCTTGGGGCCTGGGCCTTGTTCATCTCACTCCTGTCATGCACAGTTTATTGACAGGCTCTGGGAAAGAAACCGGCATCCGGAGGCAGAGAAGATAGAGAAAGGGAACTGCCTCTGTCAGGGCAAACTCTGAATGCCGACACCTTGCTCTAACGGATGTGGAACCCCACCAAATCACAAGAGGCGGCAGAGATCCCTTTCTCACGCTCACTTGTCAAGGAGCCTTTATGATTCATTTGTATCTTGTGTGGCTGGCCCTTCAACCCTCCGTATTGGACCAGTTCAAACCAAACTGCGCTGGCCGCGGCTTGCAATGCGGAAGTCCAAAGTAGGCAGTTTGATATTGTGGACTTGCGCTGAATGGAACTACCTTGTTAGTGCTTGCTGGATCACTTGTGGATCATGGCTTATGGCAAGCTCTACTTTCGTGCAAGGCCTGCTGCAGCCAACGAGAAGCCTGAATCTCCATGCTATATCGCGCGTAGCCCGTAGCACAAGCCCCATGCTTGATGAAGGAATGGAAAGAGCCGCGGCTACGCGCACATCAGCCACTTGCTCGATGTGCTCATGCCCATGCTGAAGTGGACCCTAAATCCAACATGATGGCACAGTGCAGCCTGTGCAGGGCATTCGGTTTCACCGGTTCTTCGCTTGGCAGCGAGACATAACCCTAGCCCCGACACTAGGCCTAGAGCCCGATCCTCCAATTCAAGAACATTTGCCAGCCCTGATTTACTAACGTTAAGTTCTTGCTGATGATCTCCGACTAGACCCTGCAATCGTAGACGATTTTGTATTTTTTTGTTTCGACCGCACGGTACCGATGAAGTAGCTCCTGCGATTTGCTTAAAGCCGGTCTTGCCTACGAGCTCCCGGATGATACTGTAACTTCTATGCATGCCAGAGCACATTACCACGGATGAGGGTGTTGCCTACAGCAGTGGGCGCATCCTGTACTATGAACTTCAGACAGGCAACAAGCCCGGTCTGGCCAGTTTAGTGGGCCTTGGATGTACACTGCAGGAACGGTGAGGAAATGAAGGGAGGCCGGGGAGTAGAGGAAAAGAAAGAGAGAGAGAGAGAGAGAGAGAGAGCGAGAGCGCGACAAACGTAGGAGAAAGAGACAGAGACACAGAAAGATAGAGAGGCAGAGACAAGAAAAAGAGGGCGAGACAGAGACAGAGTGAAAGCAAAAGCGAGTGCCTTAGGCATTCGGTTGGGACACCGAAACCTAACTCACCATGTAGATTCAGGCTTATCTGCGGGCATCGATGCACGCCACTTCGTGGCAGCCGTTTCTGGGAAACAGGTGCCAGGTGCCTGAGCTCAGACTTGCGCAGCACGCGCAAGCTTAGGTTGAGGGTTGGCTTGGGAAAAGTGCCTGCTGTTCGGATGGGGACGCTAGGCTGAAGTAAGCCGCATGGAACAACTTCTGCATGCTTCACGAATCCAATATGTGACCCTGCTATGCAGGTTCAGGTATGCTTAGTTGGCCTGACGGTTCTTGGTTCGCTGATAGCTGTCCACCAACTCTTTTGCAGAAGTTGGGGTAACGACTTCCTTGCACGGTCTTCCGTCCGTCGGAAGACAGGAGATGAGTGATTGATGCTCAAATCCGCAGACATGTTGCTACACAGATGTGGTGCTTTACAGCTACGGTGACTTCACACTATTAGTTGCCACCAGAAAGTGTTTGCACTGCATCGTGCCCTGCAGATAGACACAAGCCGGCCACAGTTTAGCCCAGCTATGTCGAGCTTGCATGAGTCCTAAGGCGAAGCCGGAAGTTAGCTCAAAACCCTAAGCGCTGAACTTTCGCACCTGAGCCCAATGCGCCTATGGCTCGACCCCAAACTCGAGTCCCGCATCACCAGGCCCTAAATCAAGCTAAGAACCCCGAGCAGTAAGGAACCCCAAGCGCTGGGCCCTAGGCCCTAGGCTTACTCAACTGCAGGATCCTAAACCTCGGGTGTCCAAGTCCCAAGCTGGAAACCGCCAGGCTTCAACAAGGTCGATGCCCTCTGCTGCGAGCCGATCACGGGTGTTGTCTCAGGCTTGTCCAGGCACCACAGATGTGTGTTTTGGGGCTGAATGGCAGTTGCGCTTTCTTTTGAATGTTCAAGTTCAAAGTGCTTCTCGTTTCAGAGTTTGTGTTCCTACCTATGTCTTCGACAGATCGTTTCGCTGCCTTCAACCGTGCGGTCTCAGGGGAACAGCAGAAAATCTGTTTAGCAGCTTGTGGCTGTTTCGTTGGGGATGTGTCGTCGCACTGTAGCAAGCACCTTTTGTTGTCTGCACGGAGCATCGACATGTTCATGCGAAAAGCCCTGCGTGCGTAGATGGTGGGAAGAGAGTCAACTTTTCAGAATGACTACCGATTAGCTTTTAGACACCTGGGCCCCCTAATCTTTTCCGGCTTGGGTTCTTGTTTTGCCATTTGCTGGCAAGCTCGGCAGAATATGTGTTGCATTCATCGCTGGTGTTCTGGCCTCAGTTGATGGTTGTCCTCATGTCCTTCACTCAGAAAGGCTTACCGCGGGACCCGACTGACGTAAGAGCGATTGCCCAGGTCCTCACCGGCAGTGTTTTGAAAGCTTGCAGATTGTTACGTGGTTTTACGGCTGCAGGCGTGAGACGATGGAAAACTGGAGGTTCACAAGGTAGCACACCGTCGCTCCAAGAAAAGTAATTAGACCTTTGCATTCAAGCAGGCAGTTTCCTGGCATGCGCACGCAGCCTGACCCGCTCTTGCTGACTTCTGCAAGCACATGTGCTGCAAGCCGTCGCATCTCTTCGTTCACCTTGTGCTGTTCACATCGCCTTGGTCTCGACATGCTTGAGACTGCAGGCAATCACATGACCATACGTGGCATGTGCATCACTGCCCTCATACATACGTCGAATGCAGGCATCTGAATCTACGCCCAACCGAGACCAAAGGTTTGGCCTCGTCTGTATGAGTCCGTCATGTTGCGAAGAGTCAGATGCATGAACTAGTCAGCCCGAATAGTTTCTGGGCTCAAGACGCAGCTTCGCAACTGGATGTGCAGGCGTATGCGCGACGACAATGCGGACTTCCTCATTCCGACACCTGCCGAGGTGCCGATAACGCAGGAGCCATGGAAGCAAGGATATTTGCAGAAGTGAGGGTGCAACAACCCTTTGCGGTGAAACACTAGCGACAAGTAAAGGCTTGAGATGATGTGTGCCATGCAATGTCCCCACGGTTCAAAAGTGAGAGTTTCTAACAACTTGACTGGTAGGGGAGGGCCTCAGAATTCGGGAATGAGTGCCGCTTGACATGGGTTGTTGTTGGATAGATTCCACGGATGTAGATGCAAAGCTCCACTCCGAGTCGCGCCCAATAGTTTCGATCTTGTTGCAACAGCTTGCGGCAGTTAGCCACGCCCCTCGGTAGCCTGCTCTCAGGCCTTGTAACAGCTTCAGACGCCAAAAAGAAACAAGGAAAGTTCATTGAACTGTCAACAGGGAAGAGGGTGACAGGTTAGGCTGAAAGACACTCGAAAGCCACTTTAGATTGTAGCTAATGCTGCGAGAGTCGAAAGCCGAGAGCCAACAGTCAGGCCAGTCCTTTCGGATGCTTCTTTCTAAATTCAAGTCCGGGTGCTCCGAAACCCTAAATCGCCCTAGGTCATACCGTGCATCCCACGAGGCCATAGATTCCTCAAGCCTTAAGCCCCAAATGCCTTCAACGAACTGTTTTCTAGTACACCCAACAAAAGGCTGAGTTCTGCTCCCCCATGTAAAACTACGGAGCTAGCTGCACATGCACAGTGAGCGTCTAGCTCGTAGTGTGTCGTTGTAATGTTTGTGCGGGTACAATGCTTTAGAGAGCCAGGAAGCCAAAAGCCGTGTCAGACGCCCACCCCAAGGAAGTGGCGGGATGGTGTCAAGCAAAACGATGGAGTGGCGTCAGAAAGAACCGCCAGACACCCAAGTCGGCTTCTCGGCGAGCCTTTGTAAATTGGGGTATAGGGTATAAGGTGAAACCAGTGGGTGTCGCTTCGCTAGTGGCTAGTGAAGCCGAGGTTTTCCAAAAATACACTAAGCCTGAAGTGGCTCTGATTAACTTCTTTGACCCATGAAGCTTCAAGCCCGGAGCCGGAGCCTGCACCGAGGATCAGGAGGCCCAGCAGGCTGAGGATGATCCTCGCAACGCCAAAGTCGTTGGATGGCAGTGTCAGGACGGCCCGTTCATGAGGCCGGCTTGGATCGAGGCTTAAACCCTCAAGGATAGCTTAACCCGCAGATCCAGAGGCGAAGTCTACGTGTTGGTTTTGGTGCTTAGACTGGGAGCTCAAACTAACTTGGTCACTGCTCTTTCGGTCCCATCGCCATTAACCTAAGCCTGGGCATGAATCCCAAACCCTCGGATGAAGTGAGAGGAAGGATGGTTGATTCATATGAGACGAGAAATTCCTCACCCCCACAGCCCCCACACGCGTAATTCATGCGCGGTGAAACAGCCTTCAGTAGATCCGAAATTCAAGCCTCAACCCTGAAGATGATGGAGCCCTTAGCGGCACGAGTACACTGCGTGCTCTCAAGGAGTGGAGGGCAGTGCAGAAGTGGCAACCTACAAGAGCACAAGACTAGCAGCAGACTTGTTGAAGGTTGCTATTACCTACTTAACGGGCATGATGAGGCAGGCGTGGCTTACTACGAGAGACAGCGGCGGCATCGAGATAATGAGAACATATGAATGCAGATGTATAGCCGGGCAGCAACGCAAGAACGGCTTTCTGATAAGGCCCGGGAAGACAGCAGGCATACTGCGTAGTGCAAGTATATGATAACAACGTGCATTGAGAGGGAAAATCCATTTCACCGGGACACTCATTCACCTTGGTTTAGGGCCCAGAACGGAGAGAGCATTCAAGCAGCACTTAAACTACAAAAGATTAAGGAACACGACGGTCAGATTTATAGGAAAGGTCGCATGAACGATGCGGAAGGGCGTCAGGAAGTGAATTGGGAAAGACTTCTGAAAGCAATCGGGCGTGGTGCAGGTGTCACGAACGCAGGCTCGGCGTTTAGGAGGCAACACAACCGAAACCCTAGCTTCCAAACCCTAAACCCGGAACCCGAAAGAGGCCCGATAAACCTATATGAGGGAGTAAAATCTAGCAGCGCGAGAATAAGCCAGTCTAGCATGTGCTTGATCACATTCGCCTTCTCATTACCGCTGTCATGAAAAAGATCCTGCGCTTTCACCAGGAAGTAAATTCGACATGACTGTTACTAGTACAACTGGAAAGACTGTCACGACCGCTGCCCTTGCTGATTATTGTGTCAGTTTTACAAATGCTTCCTCTGTCGTGACCCTTACTCCCCTTACTTCCGCTTGCCTGCTGCAGATTGGGATGGAAAACAAGATTTGTAAAGCTGCGCGCTTGTTCCTACAGCCCCTGTACCATACTGTACATCGTAGAGTATAATACAGGGGCTGGGCTGGCTCTGGCTGCTCTGGCTTCGATAGAGGAGAAGGGAAGCTCCGAAACTCCAAGCCCACAGCTTGCAAAGTTCGTCAGAAGGTTTACATGGGGTGTTCAAGCCTCCCTGCGGGTCCAAACCCACGGACTCCCCAAGCTCAACACCCGGGATGTGGAGAAGCATAATCGTCTTGATGCTAGCAGATGTGCATGGTTGCCAGAATCGGCATGACTGTACCAGTGCATGCTACAACACCCTAATTAAACTCTAAACCTTAAACTTAAGCCCCAAACGTACCCGCAAGCCTTACGAGTGCCAGGGTCGAAACCTTAAACCGTCCAGGCGTCCGGGCCTGCTTTCAAACCAATGCGAGACTATGCGAGACTCATAGCCACGCTCCTCAGAAGTATGGGGTTCGACCGGCTTTGGTGCTTCAATATGTAGCACAAGGTTGGAGGATCAGGGCTTGGGATTTGGGCATTGCGTTGTTCTTCAGATTCACGGCTGAGGCTTTACGATTCGAAAGTGGCGCCGTTTAGCATAGATCTAGCAGGACCGCGAGATATGTATGAATGCAGTGCATATAGAGTGGCTGCAGGGGAACTGACTCTTTGACCTGTTCATATTCATTGACTAGAAGGGCCGGGACTCCGCGCGAATCAAGTTTAAGACGGTTGAGGATTGAACTAGGTTGAGCAGCCACAACTAAACCGTTTTGACAACAGCGGCTGTGTCTTCCTCAACCCGCCGTAATATTTAAAGTAATGTTCGATGCATTTCCAAGCTATAGAAAGCTCAGGGAAGCAACTGCAGCTTTACTCGCTCACTCATGAACGCCTAAATTTCAACTCCCAACTGGCCTTGAGAAGTGCACTGCTCGAGTGTCATTCCGTTCGTTTTATGGCAAACCCTGCTGAAACGACGCGCTCAGCACCAAGGTCATTGGACATTCGACCCCTACGCTCATTGATTGTCATTGCGCAATAGTCTGAAGGTGCAACCGGCTGATGGCCGGAGTTCATCTCATCGGTTCAGATTGGGCTTTTTTGGACGAGTTAGCTGTCAATCTAGCTGTCACGTGCAGCTGCAACGCCCAGTCTGACATTGCTGAAGTCTGGCTCTCCTGTCTCCATTAATTAGGCGCACCTTGCGTGGGCATTCGTGTCTGGTAAGCACAGCGTTTACACACCGGTCCTCGATGGCTTGATTTGAAATAATGCACCCTGCAAGCGGTGCTTCGTTAAACCCACTCGCGCACTTTACTGAGTGCTCGTGCTGACTTTTTTGTCGACACCGTGGTTGCCTGACTTGCGGCTGAGAGATTGTGGCAATATGATGTTGGTATAAGATTCTATGACGGTTGACATTTTACTTAATTGACTGTCATTCCGTTTCGTGTTGGACTTGTATCATATGTTGGGTGGCTGGTAGGCTTCGGCTTAGCAGTGCTTTGCTTCAGTTCGTGTCTGGGATTAACCAGCCTTTCGGCGCTTAATTAGGTCAATCAGGGTGGGTCAGCAGTTGGACAACAGCTAGCATGGTATGAACTCGGGAATGACCACTGCCAGGCTCAAGAACAAACGACCTGGGTTCCCCAAAGCTCTCGCAGTGCCAAAGACTCATAAGATGATGTGAAACAAGTGGCAGGGCTCCCGCTCTCGGAACTTGTGGATACGAGCCTCGCTGATATGTTCGAGCAGTGAACGGTTGTCACTATTGAGTGCAATGATCAGCAGCTTTAACCTGTTCCGGGCCATTGCGCAACCCTGTTGCCAAAAATCCACAGCTTGCCAGGGCAATCCGCAGGTGCAACCTGTGAACCGTCGATATTCCCGATGTTCTCGTTCAGCTCTCCTAATGGCTCTTCATTGGGAATTCCATTCCTGCACCCAAAAAGCCTGAAGTCTTGATGCCTGTCATAACCCGATCAAGCCCGCAAGAACTTTTCCCAAACCTAGAACCAAAATGTCACATTCAATCATGATGCCATGGACTCAGCAAACTCTTCCATTCCGTTCCAACGAGTAGTTTTCAAGCGCTCAGATGTTGAGGTTTTCGGGGTCGTGAAAATTCAACACCAATCCCCAATCCCAGACGTAAAAATTCCCTAGAAGAGCCGGCATTTGCGAGTTGCCGATTGCGCGGTTCCATCCGGCTGCCGGGGCTGAGACACGAGTGCAGAAGTGCACTATGGAGCTGTAAGACTGTAAGGGGCATTCAAACCCCAAGCCCGAAAGATAAAGGAGACCTGATAGGGTTTGAAGCTGGGGATTCCCTCAACAATCCGCAGTTGGAAGCTTGGGCTGAAAAAAAACGTTACCGTTCCTACAGCAGTCGAATACATCTCTACAAGGGCTGTTGCTACGTTGTCCTTGCAAATGGATTTCCGGATTCGCAAGAAATCCGAGAGTCCAGGCAGGGCTTTCAAGATGAGGGACATGTTCGTCTAGCGACTAAGGTCTAGCAGTTGGGGTGCTTAGGGTGTGTCAGTTGGTGGTCTTTGTGTTTTGAATGTTCGGGAGTTGTTTGCGATTTAAACATGGCTAAGGTGTGATGAGTCCTTGAGCCACTGAAATCCCAAAACCCTGACACTAATTTCTGTGAGAACTGAGGTCCAGTCCAACCCTTCAAGTTGAAGAGTTTGTTTTAAGCCTGAGTCCGTTTGCGACAACCCCATGGCTCTGAAGGTTATCATGCCAAGTCCACCAGTCTAGGGGAAGCGCGTCTTATTCCCGGTGTGAGCGGAAGAACTGAGCACATCGCTGGGGTGTCTGAAGGCTGTCACAGGGAATGTCCCCAGTCATTTACCGTTGGAGGTTATAGAGGGTGCAGGTGTCTCCGGGCTCAAGGCTGCGTTCTTCAGTTATTGGGATGCTAGTTTGGATTCTGCAGCCGCAGCCCACATCGTCTGTCAGAAAGGTTCAATGAAGCAGGACTGGGGTTTATGGCTTAGTTGAGTTCTTCGCAAGGAATTCCGACACAAGGGAACAGGTGCGCGCAGACAGGTTCGCGAAGGTTTGCGGTTGTAGGCAAAAGTAATTATTAGGAATTCAGTCTCTCGCACCTGTTACATGTGCCGGCACGCCAGCAGTCAGAAGCAAAAGTTGAACCCTCCTCCTAATACTGCCGCTATTGTCGTTCCTCCTCCTCCTGCTCCTGCCCCTCCTCCTACTTCGACTACCACCACTCACTACCATCACCACCCCAGAAACCGCAAGGTTATCATGGCGATCGCTACCATGTGCCCTGGTCGTATCTGCAATCACAATCCACACCCCAGAACGAAGCCGTAACCGCAAGGTCCCCAACTCAGCTGCAAGCTTCTACCTGCCAGTACTATCAGCAGCGGGGCTTCTGTTTCGAGCCTAGCTTCGCCCCACAACCCTTTAAGATCTTCTGTCTGCTTCAGGCTCTGCATTTCTCAGAGGTCTGGGAGGGAGAGGACCGGAACTGAACCCTAAATAAAAATTTGCGGCCGTCCCCTAGTAACAGCTATATGGAACGCACATAAACAAGCCTTCAGCTGGTTCGGGGCTTTGGGGAAGTGGTTCAGCGGAGTGTCTTCGAAGTGCTAGCTAGAGCTGTTGTTGCAGTCACGGCTTCATGAGACTCTCAAGTTTCAGTCTAGGGTTCCGATGTGATGATATCATATGCACTGGTATAATGTAGTACATAACAGCGTCATAAAAGGCAGCAGCAAGGATGGCAATAAGGACGGCGACAAGTACAACAACCAGAGTAACGCTCCCATGACTTTGGATCTTGGGT